AGGTCATTGAACATTGTGAAAAAAATATAAAACCAATAAAAGGTATTCTTTGACGACTTTAATCTTAATATAAATTCTGTTTGATTTTTATGTCAGGTGAGTAAACTCATGTGACCTATTGCTATACGTTTTCGTCCATTGTCGTCCGTCATTCGTCCTGCGTTAACATTTGAACATTTTCAGCTTCTTCTTTAAAACCACTAAACCAATCAATTTCAACCAAATTTGGCATAGAGCAATTTTGGATTCAGGGGAACAAAAATTGTGAATTTCATGGTCCCCGCCACTCCAGGGGCCTGGGGTGAGGCTAAAACCACTAAAATTAGTGAAATCTTTAAAAATCTTCTTCCTCACTCCTAAACATCAAGCAGTCAAACTGTTGGTATGATTTTGATTTATCAAGTCCTCAACCGAAATTGTGAAATTCATGGTCCAAGGTTCAGGGGTTTTAGTGCTAGGGGCCGGCGGGGCTAAGTAGATTATATAGCGAAAATGCATTACATGTATTTCTTTGAAAAACTTCTTCTCTGCTCATGAGTAAGAAATAAACTTACCAAGTACATAGTTTTGTTGAATAAGGCTGCCTCTTCAAATTTGTGAATTTCATGGCTCCCGGGTTAGGGGTTTCTATGTTAGGGAGGGGCTCTATTGTTTATATAATGAAAATGCAAAAATTAATTAAAAATCTTCTTTTCTGCACCGTGTTATTAAACCAATGAATTATGTACATACTTATGAGGAGGAAAGATGCCTTTTTGAGATTTTTGAATTTCAGGGCCCCTTGGACAGGGCTTATTATATTAAGACGGGGCTCTTATGTTTATATAGTGAAAATGCCTAAATTCTTTTAAAATCCATTCCTTTGCTCCATGTAATTATGCCAATGATCTTTGTACATATTTATGACTAAGAAAGCTGCCTCTTTCAAAATGTCCACGCCCCCTGGGACAGAGGTACTTGGGGAGGGGGAACATAGTTTTAAAATTAATTAATGCTTTGAAATATTCATTTTGGTATTTATCAATAACATTATGAAATAAAATTTCTTAAATTTTGAAAGATGTGGCCCCAAGGTCGGCGGTTCCTTTGGGATAGGTGCATAACTTATAAAGTGAAAATTATTTCTTTGTTACTCTGATCTGGGTATTAAGTAAGCAAATTGTGAATTTCAGGGCATCTGGTTTAAAACACGACTCGAATTCATGCAATTGTTGGAAATTTGTTACATAATATTCAGGTGACCTATAAAGCCCATGGGTCTCTTGTTATTACCTTTAAATCAAAATCTACGTACTTCTAGGAAATAACAAAAATGAAAATAAGTTGTTAAAAGGTAAATCTTCATGATATTCATTGATCTTTTTTAGAATGTTTTGGAATAAAACTTTTTTAAATATCATAAACCGATACTTCTGCAATAAACATGGAGCTCCAAAAAATTCTTTTCTTTTTTAATGAGGTTTGCACCTCCATTTTTGAATAGATTTTTGTCTTGAAATTTTAAAAACAAAAACAAAAAAAAAAAAAAACCAAAAACAAAACAAAACAAAAAAAAAAACTAGAGGTACCGTGAGCAATGAACTCACTCAATGATACCCCCGCCTCCCATAATGTCCATGTGTTGCTACATGTATATATTGTTTTACGGTAATGTGTAAAGAGGAATAACTCGTCCAATCAAATGATATCCAGAAGCTTCTATATATGACGTCATAGGTAAACATATAATGGCAATGTCCATGTTTTGCTATGGGAAACCTAAAATACGTGTCGAATAAAAAAGTAAAATAGGAGGTGCATTATGGCAATATGTAATAAAGAATCTGTGAAAGTTTCATTAAATTTCACTCAGTAGTATAAGAAGAGTTGCGGATTGGAGATAAAGCGTAACAGAACCACGGACGGACGGAAATCCCGATTACTATATACCCTCCCACTTTTCAAGCGGTGGGTATGATAAGATAAAAATAATGTTTAAGTTCCCACAATGAGACTACAGTCATAAACTATATTCAATCAAAACCCGATGCTTAAATCCCATGCAAAAAACAAGAAGCGAGGACACATGTTCTGTGACGGATGGTTTGTTAGATTGATTGATTGTATATTGTTTAACGTCCCTCTTAAAAATTTTTCACTCATATGGAGACGTCACCGTATGCCGGTGAAGAGCTTCAAATTTTGACCTTTACTCGGCACTCATGGCCATTGAGCATTGAGGGATCTTTATCGTGGCAACGCCTGCCGGGGCGTCGGTTTTTAAGGTTTCATCCGAAGGAACCGCTACTTTCACTTCAAAGTGCCAAGTGCATGGCAAAGGAACAGTTGCTACCCACTTTAACGACTAGGTCAGTCGCGGCCGAGATACAAATCACGACCTACCGATCACGGAGCGAGCGCTCGATGGTTTGTTAGAAGAAAAATATCATTTTCCCTTGCTAAAGTACCAGTATTGTAAAGTTTGGATTAATATTTTTACATCGAACCTCCACACAGAATAATTTGTGTAGTGAAGTGTCCCAAATTGGTCATGATTTATTTATTAAATTCACTTTTAAGAATATATCATTATATTTGGCAAATATATATCAAATATATCGCAAAAGTCCGTGGAAAAAATAATCCATTTTAAGCTAATAAGTACAGACCACAAAAGAATGATGCACTTCGGTCAATGATAAGTTAATAATTCATTACTGGTCCACAATTTTTTCACATTATAACTTGATTAATTAGTAATTAAATTAAATCATATTTTACCTAAAAAAGGCATATCCAGGTTGTGATATGTTACTATAAATAGATTAAACATTTATGGGCCAATGAGTCAACTATAAAAAGATCAAGTTCAGTACAGGAGTAACAAGTCTTGCAAACTTTTTAATTTAGATTATCTAACCTTGTTATAATTATTTTGAGAGGAGTCTGTATACTTCTTGTATAAGTTGCCATGGAATTGAAACCTAAGTCGTGTCCATAGTAACCATTATAATTCTATGTTTAGACATTTTAAATGTCACAACCATTGTGAATTTATAACAATATTATTAAAAACAGCAAAGACATTATGTAGCTTTAACGTGGAAAAATTCAAGAACTGTTTATTATTAGTTCTTCACTTAAAAAAAGTGTGAAAAAGTAAATAAGCAATTTTTTTAAATGATAAAAACACTATTGAAAAATGTTTGAGCTGTTAAACCCGAGTAGATGCACCCAGTTTTCCTGTAATACTTTTTTGTATATCGTAAACATGATGACCACTCACCATCTTTTTGGGTGATTCTTTTTATATCAGCATTTGTTTTGCATTAAACTTTTCAGCTTTTACTGTTTTGTAAGTTTCACAACACATAATACATTATAATCATGGCTTCTGTATTCTGTATGGCTTTCAAAAAGCGAAACAGCTTTAATGGTTACGGGTTATTATTTAATTTTGGTTGTAACGCCTCATTTGATTTGATAAAATTAATATAAATTGTATAACCTGTGTTGCATATTGCAAAATCATTTTCGTGGGGTCATATTTTCGTGGTTTGAGGAAAAAATGTTGGTTCGTGGGGATTTGATTTCGTGGATGAAGAACGTTTAAGTACGTTGTGCTATCAAAATTTACATTTCGTGTAGGACATAAATTCGTGGGTCTCTTCATACCACGAAAACATCGAAAATTAAACCTCCACGAAAATTAGTGACTTGACAGTACATCACAATAAGATACTTCCAAATTATATTAATTTGCTTGACGTTACCATTTAAATATGAACAGCTTGAAGGTGTTTTTGAGAGAATTTGTCTTGTTTTCTGTACTTAATAATTGAAAAGTAAATTATAAGGAATTTATAAAATCAAATTATTGTGAGCAGTTTACGCTTTTTGATAAACCGCTTCGTGGTATATATAGCGGTACCTTCCCCAATCCTGGCTATACAGTATAACTTGGGTTGCTATTTACGTGTAATACCTTACTTAAATACATTGTAAATTACTTTGCCCAATTATGGATATGGAGATAACCAACAGTATTCAAATTCAAAGTCCACAAAACTATTCAAAATAGGAGCAGAGCAAATACGGACCTCAGAAACATCAGAGGTGGGATCAGATGCCATGGAGGAGTGAGCATCCCTTGCTGGTCGTTTACATTCGCCATGTGCTCCTTGTCATGATCGGGAAAAAACGGCGTTAATTCGGTGTATAAATAATGGACTAACAGTTGGTATGAAAAACGTAAATCAGCATTTGTCTCAATGATAATTAAATTGTTTTTACTGACAAGGTCATTGTATCGACCATAGAAATTATGAAATTATGACTTTAAACGAGGCTGTTTATATTTTTGTTTCATCATCTTGCTTGTTAATGATTTACCTCCTTTTAGAAATTGTTCATACGTAGAGCATGCTCTACTTTGAAAGTTTTAAACTTAAATTAATCAGTTATATCATTATGGACTGATGGGTGTGTTCAACTATTTTATGCTTAATGTGATTTCAGAAAATTCTTTCATTTGTAAAATTTGTTTGTTTTTCTTCACTAGATTTTGAATTTTAGACAGGAGAAGAAGAAAAGAAAAATTAAAGCAGAGGCATATTATCATAATGTTAACAAACAATTTAAACTCTAACTAAGCTTTAATTTAAATATGAGATATTCTAAAAGTCTTATGCAAGATATTTCTTATTATTGGTGCTTTAGTTAAGACTCTATTTACCCATGTTATAAAATTTGGTGCCTCTAATTCATAAGAAGGATTTCCGTGAAGAGAAAAATTGAAATTTGAATATAGGGTACAGTGTTTAACTTGGATTACAATTTAATTTATTCCTTTAATAATTTAAATGTGCTGCTCTTCTTTGAAACAAAAAACGTTTCTAGTTGTTGTGTATCAAAAATGCCATTATAAGGCATTGCATCCCAACCTAGTCATGTGTGCAGGGTATAACCAATCAAACACACTTGCGAAACGTTAATGTGCTTGTAAACAAGGTATGGACTCCGTTATTTAGTATTTCGTCTGACCGCTAAGCGGAAGTTGTGAATTGTTGATATTGTTCTAGATCTTGAATAGACTAACAAAACACCGGGTCGTGAGTTCGACTTGTAATTCTTCCTGGTGCACGGCACTGCCCGAACAAGGTAAATGTAATTTTTGTAGATTTATAGATGTAAGCTATTTTTACTCAGTTTTTATCAATAACAACTTGAAATGTTTTAACAGTAATAATTCTAAATGCACGTGTTATGTAATCGTCAAAATGTTTTTGCCAAAGTATTTCTTACTGACCGAAGTCAACCCATCAATTAAAAATGACAAAATATTAGATATTTTTTTTTTTGCAAAATAACAGTTTGAACAGGGGGGTAAATTTTTGGAATTCATTTTTAAAGTGAAATCTCATAAAAACAAGGGTTTTATTGCATAGCAATGTATTTTAAAAAATCGGATGCATAGCTTATATTCTTCTTGTTGATAAACTATTTGTCTGTCGATTGAATGTTGACTTCTTGTGATTATTAAAAAGTATGGAACATCTTTTGGAAAATTTGTATTCAAATAAAACGTTATTTTACAGAATTCCATTTCCGTTTTTATTCCATTTAGACCATTGAATTTTTAACTAGTAAACTCCATGTTAAAAAATCATAAAAGTCTTAAGTTTGTTTTATTGTTTATATAGTTTTTATGTAGAATTACCCGGTACATCGTAAATTCAAAAATAAAAATAGAATTCCATGTCCTCTACAAGCTTCCTTGTTTTCTCATACCGCGATACAATAAGACTCCCAAATATATGACTGAGATAAATAAGACATTCTATTTAAAAGATATACTACACGAACTTGGAAAACAATTTGACACTAAAACGTTTGCCGAAAAAATTGGTTAATATCATTTGATAAAAGGTTAAAGTATGAATTTGAATTGACTCTGTTTATGCAAAAGAATCAAATTCCACGATATAATGAAACACACAGTATATACATGTATATTAAAGTAGTTATGATATCGATTTTGTGTTTTATTACCCCTCTGTTGTTTATTTTTTTTTTTTTTCATGTAAGCCATTTTATATGCAGTTTTATTGCATCTGCTAATGAATGATTTCGAAATGGGTTAATTTTCTTTCTTACGCCAGTATCTGACATCATAGAGGTAGCTAACACTGTATATATGTTAACATGCACGATAATAAAAAACAAAATTCTAAAATAAAGAAAACAAAAATACTAAATAAAGAAAACGAAATTATCAAATAAAGTAAAGGAAATCAATGAGAAAATGAAATTATAAAAAAAAACCCAATTTTTTAATGAAAAGAAATTATGAAATAAAGAAACGAAATTATTAAATAAAGAAGACGAAAATATTTAATAAAGAAAACGAAAATATTTGATAAAAAACCAAAAAAAGTATTTAATAAATAAAACAAAACTATTAAATAAAAAAAAAGAAACTTAAATACGGAATTTTATAGATGAGGATGGTAAGAGCCTGAACCCATGAATTAAATATAACATAAACCACATATGTTTCATAGATTTGATTTTGTTTCGTCATTAAAACAAGTGTGATACTTGCATTAGGGAAAAGGCTAAATAGGCTTTGCCTGCTGCCCAATGCCATTCACCTTGTGAATAAAATTCTGTATAAATAAAAAAATACTTGCATTAACACTCATCTTTTTTTCTATATTGATAACACAAGCTGTTGGAGTATACTTTCACGATACATGTTCAAGGGAGACTCTCCCCTATACTTATCTAATAGTTATTGCTTAGTTTTTTCATCGTACATTAACATGATTAACGTGAAATTTGACCAGTTTGCTATTTGCCAAACAGACATGTTCCCTCAGCTCAGAAGGTACAATTGTCAGCAAACAATTTATCTGAAATGTTAATAAATTGCACAAATGCTTAAGACTTTTATTACTGAGTATGTCAATCAAACCGACGTACAAATAATGTTTTTTGTTTATATAATTTTGTTGTTTTTATTCAATAACTTTCGTTTTCTTTATTTTTGGTTTGCACAATTGGGCTTCCGTATATTTCATATAAGTGTGAAAGTTGAAATAGACATTAATAAAAACAATCCTTGAATTCCTCTTCCTCGAACTGAATACTTGTACTTCATAGAATAAATCTATCATCTTAACATAACTAATGGAACAGGAAAAGTAGATCTAACTAGATGCTGTCATGAGACAGTAATACCCGCACTATGGTGTTTGCCTCTAAATATACACTCATTCATATTGGACTTTCCAAGGAAGAAGTCAAAATTATTCTATAATTATCACCGTACATGTATTCGTCAAATTGAACATAAAATTTTCAGATGACCATATCAACTCTGAGCCTCACATATGTATTTTAAAATACTTAATTCATATCCAGTCTGAAATACCAGAATTTAATTAATGATTGAAGTAAATTACTTAATTAGATTCAAATAAATAATTTTCCCATAATTTGGAACTTTTTAAATTTACTTTCTCAACGACATAAAATATTATTTTAGTACAAAGCGTTTTTGATGAATTTATCAAAATGTGCAAACTGATTTTAGTACTTGGTCGGGAAAAAAACCCATTGAAAATACAACCCGATTAATTTGTCAATGCCTATCTCCCCCCCCCCACACACACACACACACACACACACTCTCTCTCTCTCTCTCACTCTCACTTTTTTTAAAAAACATAGTTTAGTTTATTATGATAGTTTGAAATTTGTTCTTGTACTAAACAGTTTTATTTTTTACATTCACATTGGGTTTGCGTCACCCATTATCATATTTATAGATATCACCTCTCGGCACACCTCGGCCAATTCATACTGGCAACGGAATCAGCAAAGGTTTGTCGAATGAGATTATTTAGCACATGTATGCTGACGATGCAGTGTGGTCAGTTAAAATCATTTGTGTTTTAATTGGATTATATGGATTATATTTCATGAATTCGTTGTCACGACCTATGACATTCGGTAAGTACAAGATTAAGTATAGCTTGCATAAAAATAAATAAATGCAAATGGTTAGGTTGAAGTTCAAAAAGGGTCAACATGGTCAAAGATCATCGCATGCCACAGTCGACAAATTTCACATTGTCAAGTTATCTCCCGTTGCGGACATTCAGTATATAACAGACGCAGATCCAGAATTTTTTTTTTCAGAAAGGGGGGGGGGGTGTCACACCTCAGTCAAAAAAATCAGCCCAAGATTTCCTGAGATGGAAATAAAAAATAATAATAAAAACAATGATGGTGGAGTCCCTGTTTTCTAAGGGGGAGGATGTCCAAAGTCATTTTTATTCTCTACAGTACATATATAGTCTTATTTAAATAACTGCTAATTCCAGGGGGGGGGGGTCTGATCTCCCTAGCCACTGACTCCCTGTACCTGAAATGACAATTGATCTTCTGACTCCATAATAGTAGAAAATTTTTTCATTTGACTATTTATACATATTTTGTTTCCTATGTTTATGCATTTTTGTTTGTCCACGGAAACTTTAACCTTGCCCATATTTTTTAAGTAGATTGGGCTATACACATGGCTTCAATATTTCAGAGGTAAATTTCTTTTGGCAAAACCTTTTAATGGGTACCACCAATTTTGACCTCTTGATCTCTTGACCTTGGAGTTTGACCCAATTTTACAAGAAAAATACCTTGAACTTGGCGTAAGTTTTGAACAGGTGGTGCTAGGACTTTCATGCTCTTACATGTGTAATCATTGTGAACTTTCAACAGGTATAATTATTTTTGAATCCAATTTAACTTTAACCTTGGCAAAAACTTTTGAACAGGTGAGGAAGTTCTAGGGATTTCTCCCTTTTTTCACATTTGTATTCCTTGTGACAAGACTTTCCCTTTGATACCAACAATTTAGACCCTTTGACCTTGACCTTGGAGTTTGACTTACATTTGAGAAACTCCAACCTTTGCCAAAAGCTGCCATAACAGTTGCTGTCACAACAAACAAACAAATTACTAAAAAAAAAACACAGAATACATGTACATATTTTATATTCAACAGATATACATCTGGTCATATCTCTAGTTCTCCCTTGAATGAGACATGGTGATATAAATTTTAAAAAATAGTTATAAGAGTTGAAAAGGTTGTGCATATTGAAATATACTAAGCTCTGCGGATGAATTAGATATACCAGTTTAGCTTTATTTTGCTACCCAAAGCACCTTGATTAACTATTTATAAGCATACTGTTTTCTGAAATGTACTGATTTCTGTTGTCCATCTGTTTATCTGCAAACTTTTCACATTAACTTCTTAAGAACCACTGGGCTAATTTCAACCAATTTACATTTAAATATGCAGGGTACTTTTTAAGCGCCCGGATCGATAGATCCCGGGCGTATATTGTTTTTGTCCTGTCTGTTTGTCTGTTTGTCTGTTTATCTGTTTGTCTGTTTGTCAACTTTAACCTTGGCCATAACTTTTGAACAATAAGGGATGGAGACTTCATATTTGGTAAGCTTACTCCACTAAAAAAGTCCTTTCAAATGACTTCGAGGTCAATGACCTTGTGACCTTGACGAAGACTTATATGCTAAAAATAGCTTTTTCCACTGTTTGTCATAACTTTTGAACCATAGGAGATAGGGACTTCATATTTAGTATGCATACTCCACTAATAGAGTCATTTCAAATGACATAAAGGTCAATGATCTTGTGACTTTGACTGTGACCTATATGCTAAAAATAGCTTTTTACACTTTTTGCCATAACTTTTGAACCATCAGCGATAAGGACTTCATATTTGGTATGCATACTCCACCGATTTAGTTCTTTCAAATGACACCATGGTCAATGACTTTGTGACCTTGACTGTGACCTATATTCTAAAAATAGCTTTTTCCACTGTTTGTCATAACTTTTGAACCATAGGAGATAGGGACTTCATATTTGATATGCATACTCCACCGATAAAGTCCTTTCAAACGACGGCAAGGTCAATGATCTTGTGACCTTGACTGTGACGGATATGCTAAAAATAGCTCTTTACACTTTTTGCCACAACTTTTGAACCATAGGAGATAGGGACTTCATATTTAGTACGCATACTCCACTGATTAAGTTCTTTCGAATGACACCATGGTCAATGACCTTGTGACCTTGACTGTGATCAATATGCTAAAAGAAGATTTTTTTAACTTTGTTGCCGCCGGGCGCGTAGTGTTTCACAAACACATCTTGTTCCAACATAAATCTTCTTCTCAAGAACAGCAAAGACATTTATTGTCCCCATTTTTGCTAAAGGTAGGGTACATTAAATCTCATTTGTTTGTCAATCTGCCCATCTGTCACAATAAATTTAACCTTGGTCATCATGGTCGTATATTTTGAATGAGAAGAGATTGGACTTTTATATTAAACATGTGTATTAGTATTAAATGGGACAATACCATTCTACATACACTATGATTTTCATTACCCATGATCTTGAAGTTTGACCTAATTTCCTTAAAAAATTAATTGCTTTGAATTGATCATTTTGAAAGATAAATGAAAGGGCATTCATATTACCTGTGATAAGACCTTCCAAAATGTATCATGACTTTTTGACTCTGTGACCTTGACCTTGAAGTTTAACTTAGTTTTCATTAATGTTGTATTTCCTTTTCATTGAGAAGAGATTTGACTTTCACATTTCAAGTGAACATTACCCATAACAAGAGGCTCCCAACATGCTATGATTTTTTACCCCTTGACCTTGATGTTTTAACAAAATTTCAAAAGAGTGAACTCTCCCAAAAGATGATAAGACCACTGTTTAAAACAAAAAAGGAGTTTAGGGAAGACTGGGCTTTTTCCATAAAAAACGTCATTTTTCAACCCTCATTTGACCACCCGGGCAAAATCAAAATTCCGAAACCTAACTGCACATCTACATGACCCCACCAACCATCTCCCAAAGATGATTAGGATCCTGAATAAAATGTAAGAGAAGTTCAGGGTAGATGGGGCTTTTTCCATAAAAAACATCATTTTTCGACCCTTATTTGACTCCCCGGGGCAAAATCAAAACTCCGAAACCTACCTGCACATCTGCATGACCCCACCAACCATCTCCTAAAATATGATTAGGCTGCTGAATAAAATGTAGAAGGAGTTCAGGGAAGATGGAGATTTTTGCATAAAAAACGTCATTTTTCGACCCCCATTTGATCCCCCAGGGCAAAATCAAAATTCCAAAACCTTACTGCACATCTACATGACCCCACCAACCATCTCCCAAAAGCTGGTTAGGCTACTGAGTAAAATGTAGAAGGAGTTCAGGGAAGACGGGGCTTTTTGGACAAAAAACGTCATTTTTCGACCCCATTTGACCCCCCGGGGCAAAATCGAAAATCCGAAACCTTACTGCACATCTACATGACCCCACCAACCATCTCCCAAAAGCTGATTAGGCTACTGAGTAAAATGTAAGAGGAGTTCAGGGAAGACGGAGCTTTTTGCTTAAAAAACGTCATTTTTCGACCCCCATTTGACCCCCTGGGGCAAAATCAAATTTCCGAAAGCTTACTGCACGTCTACATGACCCCAACAAGCATCTCCCAAAAGCTGGTTAGGCTACTGAGTAAAATGTAGAAGGAGTTCAGGGAAGACGGGGCTTTTTGGACAAAAAACGTCATTTTTCGACCCCCATTTGACCCCCCGGGGCAAAATCGAAATTCCAAAACCTTACTGCACATCTACATGACCCCTCCAACCATCTCCCAAAAGATGATTAGGCTACTGAGTAAAATGTAAGAGGAGTTCAGGGAAGACGGAGCTTTTTGCTTAAAAAACGTCATTTTTCGACCCCCATTTGACCCCCTGGGGCAAAATCAAATTTCCGAAAGCTTACTGCACGTCTACATGACCCCAACAACCATCTCCCAAAAGCTGGTTAGGCTACTGAGTAAAATGTAGAAGGAGTTCAGGGAAGACGGGGCTTTTTGGACAAAAAACGTCATTTTTCGACCCCCATTTGACCCCCCGGGGCAAAATCGAAATTCCAAAACGTTACTGCACATCTACATGACCCCACCAACCATCTCCCAAAAGATGATTAGGCTACTGAGTAAAATGTAAGAGGAGTTCAGGGAAGACGGAGCTTTTTGCTTAAAAAACGTCATTTTTCGACCCCCATTTGACCCCCTGGGGCAAAATCAAAATTCAGAAAGCTTACTGCACATCTACATGACACAACCAACCATCTCCCAAAAGCTGGTTAGGCTACTGAGTAAAATGCAGAAGGAGTTCAGGGAAGACGGGGCTTTTTGGACAAAAACGTCATTTTTCGACCCCCATTTGACCCCCCGGGGCAAAATTGAAATTCCAAAACCTTACTGCACATCTACATGACCCCACCAACCATCTCCCAAAAGCTGGTTAGGCTACTGAGTAAAATGTAGAAGGAGTTCAGGGAAGACGGGGCTTTTTGGACAAAAAACGTCATTTTTCGACCCCCATTTGACCC